CCAGCCGTAGAATGATACCCTCTGGTCTGCCCCTAAATGGCCATTACCCCTGCCGTGGTGCTCACCAGCAAGCTCGACCCATGGTCCTCCTAGCCTACTCCCCATCCTGCACTGGGCGGGACTTCCCATATAGACTCTGGTCTCACCGAGACCCCATTAACCTTACTTTATAAGGGCATTGCCCCAGCTCTGCTCCTTCAGCCAGGGTTACCCAATAACTCAATCTTCAAAAAGAAAAGTTACCTGCTCAGCTACTCCCTTTGCTGAGCAGCCTATTCTACACCCTTTACGGTTCCCTCCTAGCCCGTCCTTGGCCCCTTGCTTTCCCGGTCCCTCCTCCAGCTCACTGCCCCGGAACTTGGCGGCAATGCCCACCCCAGCTGTACCCCTTTAGGCCTCTCCTGGAGTCTTTCCTGCCTAATGCGGCTGCTTCTGCCTGCCATAGCCCCGGCACCCCACCTGTGGGTTGCACTGCCCTCCGGGTTTCAGTCCGGTGCGTCGTCCAGAGCCGTGCCTTCAACACCCGCGATGCCCGGGGCCGTTCCCAGCTGCGGGGTCCATCCTCGCTCCGTTGGAGCCCCTGCCGGCTCTCCTGCCGCCGTGCTAGCAACAGCCGCTTCCCTAGCTGACGGGGCTGGGCGTTGCTCCTCGCTGGAGCAATCCGCCCCTTTTGCAGCTGCAGCCGTCATTTTTAGCCCCGCTGGCCAGCATTCCTCCATGACATCACCGGCTGGGTGTAATCTGATAAACGCGCGGTTAATGAGCCACATGGGCTCCTCCTTCTGCCTCACGTGCCTCTCATTGGGAGCTGCAGGTGAGTCCCGTTTATTGCTCGGCTCCCCGGGACACCGGCTAATTTAAATCGCCCATGACAACTACATCCCTTGCCTTAAGTGCCTGTGCAAGCTGACCCGAAAATTCCCGGTCCAGCTCCTCCCCTTGGTTGGGGGGTCTGTAGTAGACCCCCGCCGTTAGATCCCTCTCCCCACGGCCTCCTTGTATCTTGACCCAGAGCACTTCAGCTTGCCCCTCTGACCCCATTTTGCTGGCAGAGGATGTGTATTGCTCCTTGACATAGAGCGACACCCCCCCACCTTT